CGCACCGTGACATCACAAACCAGTAGGTGGCAGTAGTGTTCTTTGACAAACATGGATGCCTCCAGTAAAGCACATTCAAATGAAAATTACTCTTAATTAAAAACAGGTATCATTTATTGAACAATATGTAATAATTTCATATTTAAAGTTCTTTCAGAACTTTGAATTCTGAATATGACCAGACTTCTCCTTTAAAGGAACATAATCATGTAGAAAGGAATCAAGTAACGAAGTATAAATACTTGATTACTGTACTTAAGTACACTTTTTACGTATCTACACTTTATTCCATTACTTATTTTTCTTCCTACTTCTGACTTCTACTCAACAAAAAATTGTCACAAATAAAACAATTTTTTTTTAACATAAAAAACTTTTGATGGTCATGCCTGCTAAGAACTCTTGATTAAAATAGCAATAATATTTGAGTTTAGCATGAATCTTAGTGGCCTTTGCTATTTTGGCCCTTAGCTTTGTGCAAATCACTGTCTTCATCGAGCCCACTGTAGTGACAGATCTACAGCACATCTGGATGTCACCTGCTGTGTGCCTGCTAGGTTGATGGGTAAATCCCTATAAGTTAACAGTCGGTGAATCTCCACTCGCGCCTTCTTCTAAAAAAAAACACCATCATTTTCTTTCTGACTGAGGTGCAGAAAGCGCTTGTTGTGGCCAGGCTAGCGGCTCAACAACAAATCACGACAGGAAGGGGTATTTCTGTAACGCCTGTGGTCAAGTTTTGAAAAACAAAACAAAAACAACAGCAAACGGTTTAATTAAAACCTTGTCGGTGAGTTGCCTTTTTTTCTTTTGTGGCTTCTTTGATTGTGCCTTCTAGTTTGGCGTTTCACCCGTTTGTATGCACGAGCTGATGAATTATCTCACAGCTGGGCTCAGAGTTTAGCTAAATGTCGCCACGAGGCGCTTTTAAAAAAAAGTAAAATATGCTTTTAAATGGACAGGCGTCGATTAAAAAGCCGTTATCTGCTGTAGCCGCGAAAGCAACATGGAGGAAACATCAGTTAGCTGGACACACAGGGGCTCCTGGCCGTTCGTCCATCGAGGATTCCTCTTTCCTGTCGTGCAAATCGAGGAAAAATCAGCCTAAAATAATTTTTTCAGAGGAGGGATTCGTCATAGCTGTGGAAATAGCATCAGTTGGGTGCTTAGTGTGTTCCCATTCAGCCCTGTGTTCTTTATAGCGGTGCTGAGGATGGACGCCGTGTCGTTTCTTTAGTGGCACCAGAGGCGTAGCTAGGAAATTTTAATAAGGGTGGCCAGGCAATAACCAAGGGGTGGCCGAAAATGGGTAGCCAGAACCTCAGGGTCAATCTACACCAGGGGTAACCAATTAAAAATCAGCGGGGTCCGAATAAAGAAAATCATCCACCAGTAAAGGTCCGGATATATTTTTAACGATCTGTTACTTTAACCAGAATTTTAGACTAAAATTAAAGGAGGTGTTTATGCATTCATGTGATACATTGAATTATTAAATAAAAAATATGAAAAAAAAAAATACATATATATATTTTTTTTAATTTTAAAATCTAAACTTTTGAAGTAGAGAACAACATTCTTTCAGATTGGTATATAGCAAATTTCCTGATTCACATATTTTTTAAAACACCTGAACTGACTGTTTTGTTTTTTTCTTTTTTATGGGCTTAATGAGAGCAGTGGGCTTTAGGCCGCCCTGCAAGGCTTTAAAGGCACACTATGCAACATTTTTCAGTTAATTAATG